TGGCGACGACCGCCAACCTCAATTAAGTATTGAAGGTCACGCCATAATTGCGCCTGGGGTTATTAAGGATCTGGGCGTATCATGCTCCTAAAGTCTCAATCTCTCGGAGCACTGTACCTTGATAGTCTCCAAAGCACGTAGAACGACCGGGTTTATCCTCCGAAACTTAAAAACTAGGGACATTAGAATGCACCTTTTCAACATGTACGTTAGACCTGGCCTGGAATACGGTTCGTTCTTATTTAGCCTCATGCGTGTTACTCAGCGGAAGAAAATAGAATCCGTTCAATATTTTTTTCCCAAGAGAATTTTAGCCGCGGAACACCGACATTTGTCTTACCAAGAACGTTGCCGGCTTACGGGCCTTGATCCTTTATGGTTCCGTAGATTACAAAAGGGACTATTTTTGCTATTTATACTCTTATATAATCACACATTTAACCCACTCACCTCTTTAAGACATAATATCAACCCACGACGTAACAGTCACCGTGAGGTCCTCTTATTTCTTCTTTTGGCACGTACTGTTAAATATCGTCGGTTCTATTCTGTAAATGCACTTGCTATTTGGAATAAACTACCCATAAGTGTGAAAACGCTGTAAAAGTATCCGTTATTTGAGAGAACTATTACTCGATTTTTGCATTCAGAAAAGCTCCCACAAATTTTGGGTGCTGAAAACTCTGATCGACTGTACCGTAGCGATGGCGTTTGTGGTCTCTGAACACTATGGCCGGTCTCATCAGCTGTTCCTCAACGCCTCTACTTCGACTATCCCCAACTTCATGAAAGGAATTGATATCTGATAATCTCCGATACCGTGCAACCCCCCCTCCCTTCTTGACGGTCGAAATTCTACCCCCAGCAGTTTTCTCTCCTGAGCCCTCCAAACCATAAAACCACCATCATCTATTTTTTATTCCTTTACCCCAGGAGTTTTTTTCACTGCTGCTCGGATTTGTGTTTAATCGCTCCCTTGACAATGCCTGTAAACTGGCATTTTATAAATTATTATTATCATTTATGATTATTTAAATCTACTTTGGATCTCAGCACTTACCCCTAGTAGTCGCCCATGCAATCTTCGCAACTCGTCCTTGATTATACCTCCTCCAGCTTCCGCCACCACTAGGCGCTCTCTTTTTTTCGTTTCCAGATATACTTTCCTCTGGAATAACCTTCCAACATATATAAGATCTTCAGATAATCTACATACCTTTAAGAGAAGGTTACGCCTTTACATGAATATTGACTCGATTAAACTTTTATTTTCCTCATC